CCCCCCCCCCCCCCCCCCCCTCCCCAAAAATATTTTGTCTCTCTCCTGTATGTCGCGCGCCTCTGATCTTCTACAGTATAAATCGTTCCCAGTTTATATTATTCCGAGCTCACGTTCACGTTCTTCATCCTTTCCTAGTTTCCTGTTTCGAATCCTTGAACTTTATAGCTCGTAAAATTTAGGGTGTTATGACGTTTAGGCTAGATACACCCCTCCATCCATCTCGAATCACGCGTATCAATTAGTTTCTTGGCAGCGCCTCCCAGATTGTTTTGGGGCAGGCTGAAGAATCAGAGTCGTCAAGTAATTTTCCATGGAGAATAAGCACAAAATGCCACAATCGCACTAATCCCATTACTATAAAGACCGATAAAGCAGCCCGGGTATGAGATAAAGGGCTAGGAGGGCAGCTAGACATGGATTGCAGAAATGCATGGCAGCCAGTGTTGTCACTCGGAGATGTGATTCAGTGAACAGCGTACTGGACTGGGCCTTATGAGGGAGCAGCTTCTAGACTGTCATTTGGCATTCTTGTCATGTCACCCCATCTGATTTTTGTGAGGCAATGATATGATCTCACATATTTCAGCAGAGATGCAAGCTAGCGCGACATCATGTGATTGAAAAAACAACTGGAGGTTATTCAGTCGATATTGCATTTTGTCATTCTGAGTAAGTCAGCATATATATATATATTCATATACCAATAGATTCTTGTAACTTGCTTGTGACGAGACACGTCAAACCGACGGATTGTTCAAGATTTCGCGCGCAAAGCCGAGCGCGACTCGATTCGTGGGCAGGTATGGTTCGAGGTTCGGGGAACGATTAGGCCTAGTTGATGTGCGGTTTTGGTTGCGAGATTACGTGGTTGGGTGTGTAATTGTCTCTAAAGAAGAGTTCCTTGCTTCTTAGGGCGCAACAGCTATCCGTGGCCTAACTTGCGTCTGGCCGAACCTGCTGTTTTGGTCGGAAAGAGGCTGCTGCCAAATCATTCAGAACACCTTTCTGCGGAGATTTTGGTTCGCGGTTAGCAGCCCAAGGCAGTAGTTAATTAGTGTTCAAATACGGGAATTTCGGTCCATAGGTCTGGTTTCCTCTGCGACAACCGAATTTCGTACGCCTCAAGGAAGCCTAACGCTTTTGTTTGAAAGGCCGTCAAAAGCGGCGCTTGAGACCCTCAAAGCACATGTTATAAGCTACTGGAGGTTGAGCATCAGGGCAGAACGCACGCCATCAGGATCCCTACGCTCGCCATCGTCGCATCTCCGTTCTATCATCCGAGCCATCTCCGTTACGCTTGGCGTCACGCAATCTTTATTAGCAATCCATGGCGGACGTTCTCCCATCATGTTCCTGTCGACCGTGCGGCTGTAATTTCACCGTGGGTCGCACGCCCTTTGTAATCAAGGTGAGCACAAGTGCGGCTCCATGATTAGTTGCCCTAATTCATTGCCGCGTTCTCTAGTGCGAGCGTGCGACTGACGCAATCGCGAAAATGTAATCGGTTTTTCAGCTTTTATTATCATAATAGCACCGGGAGCTTGTATTTCGTGTGTTAGCACACAAATAGCACATGAAATTGTATCGCGGTCCTGTTCTTAGCGGACTTTCTTCCTCGCCCGCGGATATCTTGTTTGAGTCGGGCTCAAAAATCGGTTTTGCCGTCAATTACATATCTGTTCGTCAAGAACATGTTTTCTTACCATGTTCGTGGCACACTTCTTTTGAGGCGGCTCACGTTTCCGCCGTCAACACCGAGAACCATGTGTACCATGTGTTTATAGCTGATATTTTCCAACTCCTAGTCTCCCCGGACGACTAGACTGGACCCCCTCAGGCCTCCTTTTCTCTCTTCCTTCCTTCCACTGTTATCACCCTTCAATCTAAAGCTCTCAAATCTAGCTCCACCTTTGAGACGTCTCAAAAGTCGTCTAGCTCCACCGTGTTCACGCCGCCTCTGGCCTTCTTGCTTCTCTCCGCCGTCTGAACTGACCTCCCCCCTCCCCTTCCCCCCCCTCCACCTCTCCCCCTCCTGTCTCCCACCTTTCCAACCCCCTCCCCTTTCCCACGATTCCACCTCGTCTCCCCAATATTTTCAGGCCTATCTCGGCGAAACCAGTAAAATTCGTCGCATCGCGTTTCTAGACTGCTCCCCTCCGCCATTCGACCTGGTCAACCTTCGAATCCGCAAGCATTTCGATATTCTTACCAATACGCGCCTCTGGTTCAAATACACTGACACGGACGGAGACGTGCTGACGCTTTCCACTAGCGAGGAGCTCTATGACGCGTTTGTTCTCCAGAAGCAGAACCCGCTGCTAGTGAGAGTTTATGACAGCAACGGCGTAACAGATTCCGTCAATCTGACAGACTCAGTCAACTCAAAATCCCACGTCAGTTGTGGTACTACTACTGACGGCGCCAGCCTTTCTGTCGGTGTCAGCACCTCTCCTGACCTGATTCAACCCCTCTCCTCCTCTGAAGCAGCAGCCGCAGCAGCACCAGCAGTAGGAACAGCTACAGCAGAAGCAGCTTCAGCAGCAGCACCAGCAGCAACAACAGCAGCAGCTGCTGCAGCTCCTCCCTCACCTGCCCCCGCCTTAGAGTCGACTCATTTACCAGCACCTCATGACGCTGCCACTGCTCTCCCTCCTGCCTCCGCTCCTGCCTCTGTTCTCCCTCCCACCGCTGCTCCCTCTCCCACTGCTGCTCCCGCACCCGTCACTGCTCCCTCTCCCGCCGCTGCTCCCACTCCTGCCTTTGCTCCCTCTCTCGTCGCCGCTCCCTCTCCCACCTCTGCTCCCTCTCCTGCTGCTGCTCCCTCTGCCGACCTTTCTCCCTCACCCGCCTCTGCTTTAGAGTCCACACATCTACCTCCACCTTCTGACGCTGCCACTTGTCTCTCTCCCGCCTCTGCTACTGCATCTGCCTTCCCTCCCACCGCTGCTCCCTCGCCCGCTGCTGCTCCCTCTCCCGCTGCTGCTCCCCCTCCCGCCGCTGCTCCCTCTCCCGCCGCTGCCCCCCGTCCGCCGTTGATCCTCCTCGTGCCTCTCCTCCAGCTTCCCCTTCCCCTCCTGCTCCTGTACCCACTCCTGCCGCCGGATCTACAACCACAGCTTCTACTGCTGCTCCTCTCTTTGGTTCCTCCGCTCCCCCTACTGCATCTGCTGCTCCTCTCTTTGGTTCCTCCGCTCCCCCTACTGCATCTGCTGCTCCTCTCTTTGGTTCCTCCGCTCCCCCTACTGCATCTGCTGCTCCTCTCTTTGGTTCCTCCGCTCCCCCTACTGCATCTGCTGCTCCTCTCTTTGGTTCCTCCGCTCCCCCTACTGCATCTGCTGCTCCTCTCTTTGGTTCCTCCGCTCCCCCTACTGCATCTGCTGCTCCTCTCTTTGGTTCCTCCTCTCCCCCTACTGCATCTGCTGCTCCTCTCTTTGGTTCCTCCGCTCCCCCTACTGCATCTGCTGCTCCTCTCTTTGGTCCCACCCCTCCTGCTGCCCCAGCTTTCGGCACTCCCACTCCCACCGTTCGTGCTGCGACCACTCCTGCATCTACTAAAACCAATCAAGGGCTTCCCAGAAAACCCTGAGTTGGCTTTTGAGTCGACTCAGATGTCAACTTGCTCCTGCATCAAGGGTTTCACCTGGGGCTTGCCTGTGCATCAAGTCAAAAGGCGAGAGAAGTTTCAGGAGAAAAAAAAAAAAAAAAGAGGCGACAAAATCGTCTTAGGGTTGCGAAGCATTTACTCAAATGTTCATTTACTATTGTAATATTTGTTTCAGGGTTCTAGTTTACAACAGAAGCAACTTATGTAGGGGATTCTTGTTGATTTGAAAATGTTAAAATTCTGCGACACAACCGAGGTTCGAATAGACGACCTCGCGATTTCGTGACGATTCTCAATCGACTGCGCTACTACGGTTGTGCCATGAATGCAAAACAGCTATTCTGACACAATGCGATGCCTTAGGGTTTGTGTCTTCCTTTTTCCTCGTTTCCACACGCCAGAGAAGCTTGCTCTTCAGATTCTCACGCTAGTCCCGCTCCACCCAACTACCAGGTGAGAAGTCCCTAGAACTAAGTTAGATTTAGAACTATGTTAGATGGTACCGTATGGCCCCGGATATAGGCGCCGGCCTGTTACAGGCGCCGGCGCTTCTATCTGGAGCATGGCGCTTATGGCCGTTCCTCGATTATAAGCGCCCCCCATTTTGTACCCTTCCTTATTATAAGCGCCGCCTTTAAAAGTTTTTACTATTTTTTCTAACATTACAATTTAAAACAACTTTCCAAACTACGAGGATTTCTATAAACACTACACTATGCCATACAGCAGGCCCCTAGGGGCGATTTTCTACCTAGGTGTTACACTACTCCTCGTCAGATTCAGGCTCCAGGCAGTTGTTGCCAAAGAAGCCGTCGGCGATGATGTCGTCGTCGACATCCACTTCTGCCGACAGCTGAGTCCGCCTGTGCGCCATGGCGAGGTGGTCCTCACTGCCGTCTAGTGCGTTGCTAATGCCGCAGGTGAGGAAGGCGCGCTTGACGAGGTCGGAGGGTACTGCCTTCCACGCCCGTGAGATCCAGCGAAGGACCACTGCTGGGGGGGCTTTTTGAGGTTCCCTGCACCACAGCATACACACCACAAGGAAGGTTATTCAGCAGGCAAGGGTGAGAGGGAGGGATTAGGCATGCGTGAACTCCAGCTACAACGTACCTGCTGCTGTCAGCTGCTCTTGGCCCTCCTCCTCAAACCACTTCTGGTATTGCTGCCGCACAGACGCCTTGAAGCTCTTGTTGATGGAGACGTCGAGAGGCTGGACTTCAGCCGTCCCCCAGGAAAAACTGCAGGCACGCAGTTGAGCTCGCGCAACTTCTCCTTCACCCCCTCGGTAAGATGGCCGCGGTACGAGTCCAGCACGAGCATGGAGCTCTTTGCACTCCTCCCGAATCGGGGCTTCAAGAACGACTTGACGCACTCGTCAAGCCAGCGGATGACGCCTTCTGCGTCCATCCACCCCTTCTCGTGGCACGCGACGACCACATCTGCACACACAGGAGGAACATTAACTGTTAGCACGGCATGAGAAACAACAGCATACGGTAAGACAGCAGCAGTTGCTATATCTTACCTGGCGGAAAGTCGCCCTTCGGCACCGTCTTCCTCTTGAAAAACACCCACGGCTTGAGCTTCACCCCGTCCGCCGTGCACGCCAGCATCACGGTCACACGCTCCTTCTAGTAGCCTCCACTCCTTATCGGAACCGACCGTACGCCCGTCTGCTCGACGGTGGTGGTGGCGGGCATCTCCAGCCACAGCGGCGTCTGGTCGGCGTTGATGATCCAGCAGCTCTCAATGTTGCGCTCGCGACGCATGGCTCGCACAAAACGCCAGAACAACTTGCACTGCGCCTCGACATCTGTGAGAGGGAGTATGAACAGGCGGGATAGACGGCAGGTTAGTACGGTACGTGACAAAAACCAGGGAATAAAAAACCGGTGAACAAACTCTTACGAGAGGCAGTTTTCTGGGCAACCCACGTCTTCATGCGGACGCTCAGATTCCACCTCTTACGAAACCGCTCCGACCACTTTGACTCTTACGCCATTTGTCCTGCGGGTAGAGGTCCTTCATAAACTCCCGCGACCACTCCCGCAAACGGCCGACGGGCACGGCGGTTCCTTTGCGGCGCCACTCAAGGAGACGCTCGTACATCTTCAACTCCATCGGGCGGTACCACGAGGACCTCCCGCGACCGTGCATGCGCTTCCGTGCGGAGTGTGCTTCTTTGAGAAACGCCGCCAAGGCCTTCCAGTTGGCGAGACACTTCCGGTGAATCCCAAGGTCCCGGGCCAGAGAGCGCACCGACACCGTCTCATCCATCAGCGCGACGTACTTCAACTTCTCCGCGGCGGTGTAGCCCCTACGCTTGTGCGCGCTGATCTTGTGCCTGGGAGAGGGGGGGCGGGCATCACGGTTCTGGGTAGACGGGTGGGGCCGCTTGCGGTTAGCTGGCGGATACGAAGGTATCGGCAATTCCTCTGGGAGCCCGTCACGTGACCAGTACTCCACTCCGTCTTCGTCGTCGCCACCGGGAACACCCTCCGGAAAGACATCCTCGGCGGTGCCGCCTTGCGCGCCGCCCTCCTCATCCTTCTCGCCGTCAGAACTGCTCGTTTCCTCGTCCTCAGCCACGGCTTCGTCAGCTCCGAGTGCAGATTCGTCCCACGTGGTGCAATCTTCGGGCCGGCCCCAACGTGGTCCAGTGTAAGGTGCGCCGTGAACCCACTCATCTGGGCCCTTGCTGCTTTCCGGTTCCTCCAGCCACTTGTCGAACTCAGACGGGGTCAGGAGCGTGAGCACGGGCGGACCCCCCGTGTGCAGAGGACACTCCGGAATCGGCGGAGACAGAGGTAGAAGAGGCTGCGGAGGTGTTGGCGGTAGAGGAGGAGCAGGAGGAGTAGGCGGCTCAGGAGGCGATGGAGGCTGAGGTGGCTCTGGTGGCTCTGGTGGATTAGCAGGGACACGGGTGTACCATCCGTCGGCGTCGACTACGTAGGCGGGTCTACGACTGGGCTTTTTCTTGAATAGAAAATGGGTGCCTGTGAATTCCGCCATGGCTGGCGCAGCCAGGCGGGAGAAAACAAGAAACAGAATGCCTTCACTGAATGAAACGAGTGCCCAAATGAGCAATTGGAGGGGACCCCTTCAGGTTTGCGGTGCGGGTTCCTCGTCGGGGAAAGACGACTGCCACCCTGCCTAAACCCGGAGAGGAGGGTATCGTGCTGATTCTTGCCGCGCTGGCAGCATATTCCACCCCCGTCTAGAGGGTTCGGGTGGTTTGTTGCAGCCTGGCAGCGCATGACTCTCCTATTGGGCCGCACGGCAGGATGCACGTCACCGCTGGCAGGTGCGTTGCTCTGGGACAAGATTCGAGGGGTGGGAAACCGAAGCGCCTCTACTTTCGCGAGATTTCCATGCACGAACGCATGCGCAGTGTATACAGTTGTGTTCGCCTTGTTGTGGGCTTCAGTTTGGTACTCTTAAAAACTAAATTCAATTTTGCCATTACATTAGCGCCGGCGCTTCTGGCCGTTACTCAATTACAAGCGCCACCCCTAAAAAATCAATACTTATTATAAGCGCATATGCGCTTTTATCCGGGGCCATACGGTATATGCTAGACCTAAGCACGTTCTTATTAGCTATGACGACCCATAATATAGCTCGGTCGATGTTGTTGTTTCCGTTCGATGTTGCTGCTGTTGTCAGAAGTAGCAGTACAAAGTTTAGAAACAGAAAAGAGAGGTTTCAAAGCAGCAGTTGGGATACATATAGCAAACCCTAACTGGGTTGTACCCGCTATAGAGCACCCCACTACAGGCTAGATAATAACATTCTGACACACCCCCATAGCCAAAGTGGGGTGTAATCAGCACAATGAGCAGGCATAGCAGGAGTTCACAATACCGTAATACCCCGGATATAAGACCCGGGGGTATTATAAGAATCCCACCCCCAAAATGGGGGGGGGTCTACACAGTTGGCAGTTTGTTATAAGACCCGGGTCTTATCAAAAGGTCGTGTATCTAACTTGAGATTTGGAAGCCAGACATGTGTACACTATGTTTAGCATTTTGAGAAAATACGTATAATGAACTCCATGACATGACGGGGAGGAGGCTGAGGATTTGGTTGCTGGGCAGGGTGATGATTAGATTTGTGAGTGCCTTTGTGACTTTTCCTCCTCCTTAATGACTATTTTGTGGGTTTTGTTGTGGAAATCTGTAGGAAAAACATGCAAGCCACCATAATTGGCTATAGAATGACCTTGTCTCTATAAGGAGGGGGGTCTTATAATGTTAGCCCCCCTTTACGGGGGTACAACTCTAAACGACCTATTTAGCGTACCCCCTCCGTATTATAGACCCGAGGGTCTACAACTGGTACGGGTCTTATATCCGGGGTATTACGGTAATAAGCAAAGCTAGAGGTAATCACAGCGGGCAAGTGAGGAGGAGGAGGAACTGTGGAAGGAGAGAAGATGGGAGGCAACGACTGAAGCTGCAGAGGCACGGGTCAGGAGCGGCTGACTCAGTGGCTACCGAAGCAAGGGCGACGGACTACTGGAGTGACTGGCTCCGCGGCTAAGACGAGCGGCAGGAGCAACGGACCCACTGGCGACTGGTGCAACAGGCTCACTGGCTACCGAAGCAAGGGCGACGGACTACAGGCGCTGCAGGCGACACGACAGCTACCTCCACACAACCTCCTCCAACTGACCCACACCCTTGACACACACCCCCTGCTGAACCCCTAACTCCACTCCCACGTCACCCCCCTAGCGCCATTCCCCTCGGCTCCCACACCTCCACCCCCCTCAGCGGCAGCTGCAGCAGTGGGAGACGAACAAGGAGGTGGGGAGAGGGAAGGGGAGTACCCACACCGCGCACCCCCATGCTCGCCACCCCACACCCCCCACCACCGCGGAACGCACGGCGGCACGGGAGGAATGGGCAGCACGGGGGGGGGGGGGGGGGGGGGGGGGGGGGGGGGGGGGGGGGGGGCGCGCGTCTCTCTTCAGGGCG